TCGAGTAAGTTTGAGGTATCGGACTAAATCATGGGATGCCACACTAAGATCACAAGGTTAGGTTTATTTTAAAAAATGGCTAGGGTTGCAGCCAGCCATCTTTCCAATTAGTTTAGTATATTTTTGTGGTATTTCTTGAAGTATGGATTCTTGTTCCAATGATGCTCGTCACTGTATAGACGAAAGCTTAGCACAATTTTGTCGGAGTCGCAGAATGGTGAGCCGAGTACTTCTTCGCACAATCTAACAGTTTTCACTCCGTAGCAATCCTCTTTCGCCCTCAAATGAGACTATTTATGACTTCATTCTAACCAAATTTCCTTTAGAAATGGAAAGTCATGTCACTATTGTTTCCATTTAATCAATTACAGTATTATTAATCATCATTTATTAATCATCATGGATACTTTTGTTTTATTTAGATTCATTCTGCATTATCAACGGAAATCCAATTCTATTCAAATCCATTTACATCCATATGATCCTATAAACAAAATGTTCGATTCGAATAAAAAAACAGAATAGGCTTTCCTGCAAATTGAACGTAATAATCCAGCCGAGAATTAAGTTATTTGTAAAATGTATGGATTTTTCTGTATTGCCTCTGCATCTTCTAGCAAGAACGCCTTAGTTACGTCTAAGTGCAATGGATCAAGTTGTATTTTAAACCTATTTCTCTTACAAAATACACTTCTTCATAGTTAAGAGAGTTTGGACAGTTAACAAATCATTCTCAAAAGTATTTTTGAATTATGCCTTTTAGTGCATGCAATTTCAGAGTTTCCGATATCGAAGGGATTTTTTAATGTTTATTATGATAAAAGTGAATTCAGCTCTCAACAAGGAAGCTGATCATTCACTAAACTTAAAGCAACTCCCAACTTCTTTAACAATATTTATTGTTAAAAATTCTTTTTCTGCGCTCCTCCAAGTTCGAAACTATTTGGCTAGTATTCATCCGTTCTCTTTTAATGCATTGAGTTACATTTTAATGCGCCTTCAATATTTTTCTTATTTTCTTATTTAATTTTTTTTTCTGTATTTTCCCTACCTTAATTATTTATCACCCTATTGTTTCTTCTTCTCTTTTTAACATGTATTCCTATTTTATTTTTTGATATCTTGCTAGCTTTTTACATTTTACACTTAATTCATCTTCACTCTTTTCTCCACCAGTTCGAGTTCGACTCCTTGTATTCGTTCATCTTCGGGGGTGGCCCCAGCAAGGATGGATTTAGCCGATCCAGCGATGAAGTACCTTGCCAGTCAACCATTTCTAGCTCTGTAGCGAGTAGAAATGTTGCTGGTTTCTTTGATTCAAACCAGATGGTCAATCACACCGGACCAGGATCGGCTTTGAGTGGTGGTGTAAGCGGTGTTGGCGGTCTGGTCAGCGGCTTTCTTAGTGGGGCTGGTTCAAGTGTGGGTGGTTTCGGTCGTCGTGTTTTGCAGGCTGGCCTACAAACGGTCGCCTCTGCCGGTGTTGGCCGATCCGCAGCTGCAGCCGCGGCTGCGGCTCTGGCTTCTTCCTCTTCGGGTCCAACTATTGGTGAAACCTCAGTCAGCGCTAGTTCTGACCAATGTGAGAAGGAACTGCCTGTTTGCCCGGAAGCGGCAACGCTAATTGTGGTTCTTGTGCAGAGACTCCTCCAATCGGTGAGTTTGTTTTGTCGTGGTTACACATTTAGGTTTAGAGTTACATAATTTAGGTGGGATAAAGGACGTATTGAAAGATAGGATGATGGGGGATAAGTACTCTGTGCCTGTTCAACCTACCATTATCAATTCCATTAGGCAAC